CAGCTCAGCAAACTGGTACTTACTCTCCTCCAGGTCCTCCATTACTTCCTAATGGAAATAATTATAATTCAGTTGAACTTTTACACAAAAGGGTAGGAAAACTGCACCCATGTAATGCTTAAGTCGATTCATAACCTTCCCTGACCAGTTTATGAATCTAACTATCAAACATGAAATTGGAGATTTTGTGAGTTCATTGGCACAACTAGAGATGGTCTGAGGTACTTGCAATATTACTATTATTATTATTAGCAGGAACATTGCAGACTGAGAGCTTGTTCTAACACAGCCTCCTAAGTTACTTCAGGCTTAAGTGGTATACCCCTGTAACTGTGGATTCTCTTTCTCCCAGACTGCCAACTTGATGTTAAGGTCAATCTGTGGTAACCAAATAAAAGGGTAAAATATCAAACCCCTGTAAATGCATCCATTACAAACAATAAGAACAGGACACTTGAGAACTTAGGACCTTTCAGTACATTACCTTCATAAGTTCAGCGAAGTATTTTCCATCCATGTAGTTGTCAGTCTTGAGGAATATCTCCCTGAGCATGCTCTGTCCCATGGGGTTGTACTTGTGGTTGAACTTGTCAAACCGGTGGAATGTGTTACGGTCCTGTCAGGAGTCAATGTGTATATTAATTATTTTGCAGCACTCTAGATCTAGTAGAAATATACATGTAGTCAATTCATGAAGATACAGACTCAAAATTCTTATCCTAGAAAGATTATCAAATAACAGATACATGTTGAAATATGTTGGAATCTTTCCGTATCATTGCATTTTTACAAAATCATTTTCATTTACTTGAGTCAATTTGTTTAACAGCTGTACATACAAGGTTGTGTGAAAACGAAGTCCTACTTACCGCATGGACATCCAGGGAGTCCACATTCAGCTCATAGGCTGTTAGGTTCAGGTCCTCAAACACCTACAACAGAAGGAATAGTTGAACAGATTTCTGGTAACCTTTACAACATATTACACTTTAGACATCCATGCAAAGTGAAGTATGACATCCACTGTTTCCTGTTTTTACTTTTAAGGTGGAACTGCCAGCACAAATGTATATATGGGGTTAGCCATTCCAAAATCTACAAATGCACATTCGAAGAGATACATGTACCTCTAATGCAATGACAAAAGGAATTGATATTGCTTGTACAAGTCAATAGGACATTATCTTATGTACAAGTAAGTTGTACAGAGCAGTGCATCACTGTATGATCCCCACCTCTTTCAGGGTCTGTTCCTTGCCTCCATTCTTGATGACCACCTCGTCAGCGTGCTTCCTGAGCTTACTCTTGATAAAACGCAGCAGGTGTTTCTGGTTCATACAGGAGGCTGCATGGATGTGAGTGTCCACCTACAAATGTTGAAAACAGGAAAAAAACTGGTCATCTACATGTAGTTATGCTTTAAATTATCTCTTTTCTTTTTGTATAAATGGTTTTGTATCCAATGGATCTGTGAAATGGGTCTCATGTGTATCTTTCATTCCTCCTTTTTGTCAAACATAATCTTCCCCACCAAAATGACATTTACTACAGTAAAAGACCCCTGGCTGACCTTCCTGATGTTGTAGAAGTCCCTGTGTGGCACCTCCTTCTGAGCCACCAGCTCATTCATCTCATTTAGCAGCACGTGCAGCTGGAATTTGGACGACAGGTAACTCAGCCGCCGGTAGCAGAACGACTTTCTGTAAAGGATTGTCAGCTTATTAGATTAATGATGAGTCATTGTCCCACGGGTTATGTTACCTACATTTGTATTAAAAGGCTTACATCCAAGTAGAGGTAAGTAAAGAAATCATTCATTTGGCTTTTACCATACTAGTATAAAGTGCAGTTTCAGGCATGACTTACATGGGCCCATCAGCTATCAGGGCATACAGCATGTTCATATCAGCGATGAAGGAAGCCAGGTCAGGATAGGGCAGCTCAATGGGCTCGTCAGCTCTCATGGCATCAAGGTTATCGTACACATGAACCACCCCATCCACCATCTTCACCTCGTAACCCAGGGACTCAGGCAGGGTGGGGTTAGCCCAGGGGTCTTGTCCACACACTGGGGAACTGGCCTCCAATGTGTCCTCTCGCTCTGTACAAATTTATGCACAAACAGTACATTGTAAGTTGATGAAGGTTAGACATCCACTTAAACAATAATCATCGTAATCATAGAATATCATTGACCAAAGGCATAATGTAGTGGATGATACCTGAAGTGTCTAACAGTTTTCAAAATCTATCCAGTTACCTGAGTAACTGTTATCATTATCTTGGTGTCCAGAAGTAGAGTTTGTCTGTAAGTACACTGTAAGCTTAAGGTCCTTGGCTACACAGGGCAACGGTTATTCACAAGTAATCGAGTAAATAAGTCATTATGATAAGAAAGAGTTTAGAGGACAAATTCCCATAATGATTCCTACACAAATCTCTTCTAAATGTATGACTACATTACAGCTTGATTCCTGCACAAATCTCTTCTACATGTATGACTACATTACAGCTTGTTGGTAGCATGTGCAGGTTTCTAGAAGACTTTCTTCAGGGCTATGTCTATTTCTAACTTGCAAAGAGATGTACCTATGTCCTGCTCAGGCTTGCACCCTCCATCCATAACCGGTGTCTCTCCAGTCTCCGACATGCGCAGGTAGCGCTCGGTGGTGAAGGGGAAGGACTGCATGGCCGTGTCCATGTACTTCTTACGGATGTACAGAGCCGCAGTCAAGGATGTGGCAGCCTGCTGGACATCACTCAGGGGAACCTGTAACATCGACAGTAAAATTATCATACGCATTCAAATTACCGGTAAATGTGCAATTTTAAAAGTTTAAGTTCTGTCTCAGACTCAGTATATATATATATATATATATATATATATATATATACATATATACATGAGCAGCTTTCAAAATCTAGCATTCCAAACTCCTCCGAGAAGCATTGAGAAGACTTGCCCCAGTGGTTTCATCCCCAGTGATGGACACTCTCTGGAACTGTCCCAACACCTCCTCCTCTTCCTTTGTGAACTCTGCAGGTGTCAAGGTGGTCCCAAAGAACGTCGGGGATTTCACATTCTGTTGGTGCCTGATGGGACAAGATTACACAAGGAAGACTGTTTTAGAAGTATTGCTATCAAGTACAATATGGGAGTGTCCAAGGTGGGTAGGTTTGCTTGACTACTAGTACCTATGCATACTGCACAATGTATGCAGATTGGACAGTGTATACTGTACATGCTGACTGAATATGCAAAAAAAATGTAATTTATCTGTACAGTAATTTGAGTGGCCTTGTTTTGTTATCATAAAGTGTTATCAGGTCATCATAAAGTGGTCTTACACTTGACTTTATGATAACCTGATCTGAAAGAGAAGTACATTTAAATCCTGATTTTTACTTTTGATCATTTGTGTTTTTAAGTTGCCTATATGTAACTTTACTTAATGCTCTGGATGAGATGGAAAAGCACTTTGTGTTTCTAAATGAAAGAATTACTGTCAGGGCCACTGGGACTAATGTGCCCATATAGCTTACTGTGAGAGTATGGGAGTGTTAATGGGTACATAGCACAGCTGATTTTCACACTGATCTGTCACTATTGTGATCTGTCAGTCACAGTACAGGGTAAAGGGCTTAACTGGTCACTTTTGATCCAGGTAAAAGCTCATAAAGTGCACAATTAATGCTACATGCCCTTTTGGAGAAAGCTACAAAGGGCACTTACTTATGCATGCAATATCTAGTTATGGTATAAAACTGAAATAGCACCTGATGCAAAACATGTCCATTAAGGTGGAATTTATTAACCAAAACAATGTCACAAACTATTGTAGGTTAGCAGATTTTTGCCATGCAATTTTGGATATGGTTACTAGGTATCTAGCATCTAGCAAACCAGCCTGGTGGCAGATATGTTGAATAATCTGTTCTACATTGGTCCAAACAAAAGGTGTTAGAAGCTATCAACAATTGGCATAATCCAACAGTAATAAGAAACTTTGTAGGCATATAAATTTAATATGTACACTTCTATATGTTGGGCTTGGTTGTAAATGTATGGCACAGATTAACTTGATCAATATGAAAGTGGTCATTCTGAGTAAACAATTATTCATGTTTGCAATGTTCGTCTCTGAAACATAATATTTAAAATGTTGATGTACTTGGGGACCGATAGTGACCTACTGTGACAGCAGGTTGTAAAATACCAGACCACATGGTACTGTTTCTATAGAAAAGATGGGCAGGCTGCCTCCCTCACATGTGCTTCCTTGTGCTACATATGGATCACCATGGAAACAGGATGTATAATTACAGGAAATTGGCCCTTTGTTATGCACACAGTCACTCTAGTGGCATGGAATAATTTCTCCAGATTACCAGTTGTGCTCATGAATAATCGTTTGGAATCAAGAAGGTATAAACTATAATTGTGATAATGACATCAATTAGTTACATGGTCCTCAATTTGGTTAGGTGGCTCCCATTTTGGTTAACATCTTCTACAAATGTCATTTTGATTAAGATTTATCTAATAGTATGTCCTCTCCTCCTGGGTGGATTAAGTTTTTAATGTCTGTCATATTTTAATTTTCAAATATAATGTTCAATCAAAAATTTCTCCCAGGAATTACAATTGAAACTTGTGCATACTACATCATACTACAATCTACATTATACGAGTACATTTGTGTAGCATTAGCAAATTCCACTTCGCCCATTAAAAAAAGCACCTGGCAAAGCACATCTCCTTGAAGCCTAGCTTGATTCTAGAAGCGCGAGACTGAAAAAAAACCTAGTACAATCTACAAAATGTGTAATTTACATGTAAGGACTTCAGTTACATTTAAGTAGAATTCAGATTGTTGTATTACATACAATTACCTGTTAAGTATTCTAAATATCTGTCCTCTATGATAAGGAATCAGACACTCACTCTTGTAAATCTTTGAGTTTCAGTTTGCGGGTAGTTCTAGCTTCCCTGTCATTATTGTCGTACCTTCAGATGTTGAGGAGGGGAGGGGGAGTGAAAGGAGGAAAACACACCGCAAAGTTAGTGCACACAACTAAAGAAACAAGCATCACGTCAAACCAGCGGTCACTGCCAACATCCGATGTTGACTTGATGCTTCAAAACTGCTATATTGCCATGCTATGAAAGATGTGTTATGATTTTGTAACATCATGATGGTGGTTTATAATGTAAGATGTGATGATGATGATTCTTACTTCATGGCAAATGTATGTTAGAAAATGTATGTCAGTTTAACATCAACTTCATTCCTTTGAAGTGCACTTCAAAATATTCACATACATTGTATACAAGAAGAGTCTGCATCAAGATTACAAAACTGACAAAAAAAATCATGCACATCTTTCATTGGCATTGCACATTTCTACAAGGATTGTGCTAGGTAGTATCACTGTAGAGGAAGACTTAGTATAGTGGAAGTTTAGGTTAGCATGCAGTGTTGTATGGTTTTCTCAGTCATATAGACTGGAATGCAGAGTAGTGGAATTAGAAATGTTGGTGCTTGCAGCGGTCCTCATTAAATCAGAGTCTACAGCTACACAATGTAATTTCACCAGGCATATGATTACAAGTACTGGTGGTATGTTTAACCTTTCTGCAAGCACCAATAGAATAGGGCTACAAAACAGTACTAACGTATAGATTTGTACATTTCATTTATTGCACCAATAATTTTTAGTCTGGACCTTTAGTTTTAAAAAAATAGATGCACAGGATGTTACCTGTCTGACAAAAACAGGTTATACACCGGTCACAAAATGCCAGACACGAACATGTGGCCATCGCATCTGGTTAGTCCCAGTTTTTTAATATTCAGCCAAACACCTAATGGTGGCTTCATGCATTGTTAGAAGTGTTGCCAAAATAAATGCAAACAACATGTAGTAAACATTGAGTACTGTAATGTGACCCTACTGACTGGTTAGCACATGCCAATATCTGCCTGTCTGTGACTTACCTTCCGTCCAAACCCCTGTACAGCACACAGCAAATCAAGGCATGCAAGTAGTGGTAGGGGAAACAACATGGAAAATTTCAGTCACCTCAATATTTCTTTCAGGTTGTTGAGTAGGTGATTTTACGACAATCCTGTCTAATAAATTATCAATTATCATATTTACAATGTAGTACATGTACAAACTACAATGCATTATATTCATATTTCCTAAGTTTACAACACTATCTTATTAACACATTTAATTTAGCACATTTTTTTTCATTGAATTTGAAACATAACCTTTGCATCATGCAATTTTTCATGAGATACCAAAATGGGTTTTCAAACCTTGCCAATTTTTTGTTTTATATTCAGACTATTGCAAATACACGAAAAAAGGAAAATTTGGTTTTCCCTTGATAGCCAGTCAAAATACATGTAAGTGGTAAATTTAACAAATGTACATGTACTTAAATTTTCTACCGTCTAAATTTTGACATTTCCTAACCTTCCTTTCCTAAGTTTTATTCGTAACCCTTGCTAGGTTTTAGTACCTAACCCATCCTCCCTTGTAAGGGCTGACAAGTCATGATCAAGTGTAGGTAAGATAAAGTAAGAGGGATGAGAACACATCAAACTGAGGGGTTAGTGTAAAAGCAGCACTGCACACAGGTTAGGCAGGTCACAATGCCCAGGGGTGTCAGGCTGAGCAAGGCTGGAACACTCATGTTGTTTATTCCAAGGACTTCTGTATAATGTCCTTGTTTACACATAGCTAATGGATCATATTTTTCTTTTTCAGGAATGTCGGATAAGCAAAGGATTAACTGTTGCATGTATGCCCCGCATAACAGAAACATTAGGGAAAAGATGTGTTTTGAGGGAAACATAACTAGATAAATCCAAAACACATCAACTTATTTTCTTCTGATGAAAATCAGACTTACATTTCAGATCAAACCATTTTCTCATTTTGTAACCTTGTTGATTCAAGAGAAAGTTAGCAATGAACAGGGTTGTACAGAATGTCTTTTGTTTGTAAGGATAATGGGCCTGCAGTACAATACCTGTCATTACAAGGAAATGCTGCGAAATTCTTTCTAACAATGGTCACCTAATTTTGGTGCCGTGGTATGGTAATACCAGTTTTTCCACCAGCGTTGTTATTTTGTTGTGGTAGCACCCCTATGCCAGGTCACAGTACTAGTATACCACCATGGCTGGATATAACTTATTGGTTATATGCTCCTGTTTTGAATGGTGCAATTTTTCTCTTCAGTACATTAGTGATCCAATTTGCTACAGCCTGAAACTCCAGGGAAGGGCACTGCCACTCACTTAAACTTAATCTTAACATCGTTGCACTGGCTCATCTGTCGCTCCAGTCGCTTCTTTTTCTCGTCCTCCGACTCCAGAGGACACTGGTCGGGGTACTCGTACGGCGCCGTGAGGTCCGGGTGGAAGCTCTCCGACTCATGGCGACTGCGCTGGAACAGGTCGTTGGCGATCTCCTTGAACTTGTCGTCCATGACTGTATGGACATGCTTCGGGAAGGACGAGCGGGTGGGAGAGAGCACGTTGTTCCGTGGGGGGGACAGAGACCCCGCCAGGTTAGTCTCAGTCTCTGTGTGGGGAGGGAACAGTGATGGGTCATTTCTGTGGTAAACATGCAGATCAGGTGCTTAGGGAAGGAACTTCATGGTAGAAAATATACCAGTACATGTAAATGGAAATACTTAGTCATGAATAGAGTAAAAGTAAGATATGACTTTTAACAATGTTGAACCTGAAATCTAAATATTGATGATAACCGTTACCCTTACTTATAGTTTTAACGGTATCCAGCTGCCTGGCACAACTGCCTTAGAACTTTATTACTTACAACGAGGTGCTTTAACCTAACAGTTTGTTTGTGGACCCAGCAGTTGTTTAAACTCTCCAGTAATGTTGAACAGTTTGGATTTTGCTGATCAAGACTAATACCCTACAGTACATACATATCTAGACAAGATATGCACTGATAGAGGACCCTGCATGCACACAGTTTCCATTGACTAGCAAAGACTTGTAACTTAAACTTGTAAAATAGACTATGGTAACGATTTTACAAGTTGCATGATCAAACTATCACAATACGACATGATAATCTGCACAAGATATAGCAAATTGCCCAGATACATTGGATGCATGCATGAAAATGATAAATATCACCTACAAACAAGTCAGGCATCAAATAGATTAAGATTATATGGTCAATCAACACTTGGACCACCTCTGTAAATGATACTCCTACGAATTGTCCATGTACATGAGCCAGCGATGGTGAACAAAATTGTCACGTCATGCACATCAATATCTACCCTCAGCTGCAGTGCTGATCGTGCTGCATTGTAGCAGCCTGAATCAAGATTTCAGGATTTTTAGATACACCCAGGACTGATAAGTACAGATAATGCACAGGATGGACTGTTACCCACAGACGACTGCTTTTCCTGTACCTAACGGGCCATTTTCTGTCACAGCTCATTCTGTTGCCACTTGCCGGTGAAATCATAAATGGCGGAATGGACGCTATCTATTACCTGTGCTGGCTTTAACTGGGTAGGGAGATGAATATGAATGAAGAAGAGGCAGCGGAGGTACTGCAGGTCATGACATTAAAAATGTTATCAGGGTTGAGGGGGACATCTGATGGCAAATAACGGATCCATAGGTCACCGTTTACCTCTTAAACAAAAACAATTGTGCTGCCTGCTATCAGATAGATCAACAGTTGTCCAAATTTGCCATAAACACACAGAATCATTGACAGAACATTTCAGTTTGAAGCAAACTCTGAGCATTCTTTTAGCAGAAAGGGAATGAAAATATACATTTTCTTGAACCTGTCATTCTAAACTGTAGATTGGACTTACAAATGCCTACCCTAACTACTGATCAATTTACTCAGTCATCACCAAACAAAACTGATAAATTCTATTTTCATACATAATACATGTAAAGCTACTGAGCAATGGTAGTGAAATATCTTGCAGCCGGTGAATGTACGTGTACACTGTGTACATATATACATCTTTGCTTTGCGGCTTTCCCATTTCTAGTTGTAGTGCCTTGTCATAAATAACAGTCTGGTTGTGAATGGTGCACTGCACTCAGGATGTGACCTTTGGAAGGCTCCAACCACTGACTACACTGATCTTCCTGACTCCTCCTGGTATCAAACCTGGTAGTTTCTATCTCAAAAGAGCAACAGATACATGTAAAGGCTAGCAATACCTTAATTCAGGGCAACTCCATGGTGACCTAAAACCAATAGCTCAGAAGATCTGACTGGTGAGAATCCACAATGGCAGCCAGAAACACAGGCCAGCTGGTCCCCTTCTGGCTGTCTCTTACAAAACAGCTGATTTACAAAATTTGAATGGAACATTCCATTTCCTAGGAAAGGGGCAGCCCTTGCTTGTAGGGCAGATGGAATTCAGGTGTCTTTTTTCCCAGGAACAGTACTGATTCTCGACATGAACAAAATTATTCTTTTCATTCTGTAGACCTGTCACTGATATAACAACATCATTGCGGCCTACGCAAAGGTATGTTCTTCCACATTTACTGCAAAATATACATGTATATAGACACGAACAGCACCAAAATTGTGTATACACTATACTGTTGTTTTTCCTCAGAAATATTCAGACCTGTCATCGTACAGTATGTATGGTTGAAATACTGTCAAGCACAAAATCATTTTGATTCTTATAAGATGTAATAATAGAGATTTCCAATATTCCATTAAACCACGCTAGGAATTAAACAATCAATATTTTGTGTACAATAATATATATTATGGCTATAGCCCCTTTTGAACAAATTCAATTCAAGGGGTCCGGAGTTCCATGTGAAAAAAGACCATCTCCATCCCCTCTTGTATCCCATAACTACGAATAATTCTGACAAAATAGTGAGTATATGTATAACAATATATGTATCTCAATAGAGAAAAATACATGATGAACAAATTAATTTTACTATGATTTTAATTTTTCACCTCATATAATGATATTGACCTTTTCCAAAAGAACATGCAAGGAAAAGCAACTCTTGGTAGTTGTGGTCATTGCATATTGATTGCATAAAGTTTTGCTAAACATATCCTATATGGTTGCACAAGATGGGCCTGGGGTGCAATACCGGTAAGTGGCTGCATGTTGAAGGGCGTCAAGGGTCAACAAATAAAATCTTTGCCAACCTGTACCTCCCTTGAAGCCAGATCCAGGACCAGATCCTATTGGCCAAGCTTTTTTTATGCCGTCTTTGTACATGTACACTCTGGTGTTATGAGAAACACATTGTTAAAGATTGTTGAAATATTTCAGAACGTGGAGAAACTGACTTCAACATCAGAAGTGTATGCTATTAATTAGTGATTTTTAAGGTTGATGCTAAATTATTTTTCACAGGATACATTGTATCAAATGTCCGCCTGTCTGAATGGGTAGAATCACCACCATTTCTTTGAACTTACAACTTCAAGTCAAACAGACAAAGTAATAGAACATGCAAGAAACATGGAAATGAAATACTGCACATAGAGGATAACTGATACAAGTATACATGTCACCACCCACTGAAACCCTAGAATAAAATCCATGAGTGCCAGATAACCTATGTCACCATAAATCAGTCCTGGAGAACAGCCAAAGTCCAACCAATTTGAGCAGCGAAAACAAATATCCAATGGCAGGTTTCAGTAAACATGTTTGTTAGACATTCCAACAAAATGACTCTCATGACGTGACTTAGATGGTGCAGCACACAACGTTGGTGATTGGAATTCGTCATACAAATGTTAGAACTTAGACCAACAGCTTGTCTTTTTTTCAGGTCTTGAATCTCTTATGTCAACACTCAATGACTCACAAATCTCTACATTATCACAGACTCAGTGTAAAATTATCAACCTCCCATATTTGACATACCACACAATGTAACCTGACAAATCAGATCCATTCTGCTGCCTAGATATCAAACAGATTCGTCTTGGAATAAAGACACTTCACATGTACAATACTTTAAGTCAACCATTACAGTCACTTGAAAACAAATGTTAATTATTCCTTTGATGGAAAGTTGACATCGTGTCATACTCATAGATCTACCAATGAATCATAATAAAAAAATTGACATATTCTTTAAAAAATGTTTTCTACTATGATTCAGTATCAATCTGTAGTATAAATTCATGTAAAAGATATTGATATTTACCAACTATCGGCATTTCACTATCTTTCTGCTTGTTTTTTCACTGGACTGACTCTTCTTTTTTCGGTAGTTGTCTTCCTTCCCTGTACTGTTGACTGTGATACGTATGTTGGAACCTTTTGGCTTTTATAGCCAGAATGACACTACCCTATCTAGAAACTTCCAGCTCATGGCGGTAGTATGTGGTTCTTGGCATCAACTCATTAGTCTAAACATAGGATGCCCAAAAGAAGAAGACATGTACATACTGAATGGTAACTTCATATAAGTGCCTTATCGTGTGGTATTTGTTTTCATTGCATAACTGATGTCATTTGAGATATTGTGTATCCTGAATTTAGTCGCCTTTTGGCACCAAATTTGTAGACGAGTTAGGCAACAGGGAGAATACAAGTGGATAACATTTGTATATGCAATGTACACTTCCTTGAGAAATAAATCACAACAGGTAACTTAGACAAGGCAAAATAATTATGTTTAAACTCCTTTCCATTATATAATATAATAATTTAGTTTCTTGAATTCTTCTAGTATAAACTATTTTCAAGTTTCTTAAACATGTACAACATTACTAGTAACTGTACTGCCTGATGATAGTACATGTACACTGTAGGTTACTCTATTGTGTAAGTGTAAGTATGGTTCAGTTAATCATTTATGATAATTATGGTAATTTCACACCTGAGCTCACAATGTGGACACAGCAAAAGCCAAACCCTGTTATCACTGACATAAAAAGTAACTAATTGGTAAGGGTCAATCCTTTCAAGAGGTTACTGATTGACATATGTGTTACCCAATACCCATTTGCATGACATGTAGATTTGTTTTTGTGACTTAACTGTCTGCTTATAGTAGTAATAATACTTTACTGTACATCTCACTTTACATTTGTACAAAATGGTACTAAAATTAAAAAAAAAAAAAACAGCAGATATACCTTTCTTCATACATCTTCAAACAAAGGTTAACATGTTCTAACATTGACCTTTGCAATAGGTTGTTACATATGGAACATCAAGAGTCAACAACATGTAGTCAGTTAGTTCAAGGACATCCCTATGTATATAGTACTTAGTCTAGTAAATATGTCCTTGGTTTGTTCAGCTGAAAAAAAATACTTTTCTGATATCAGCTTCTAGATACACGTACAACCAATAATACAAGCAGTTTGGAAAATTAGATCCCTTGAGAATGAGAAATATATCATTAATGTAAGATCTTGTGGAAAAAAGACAGCTGTGACAGTGTGCTTGATGAACCGTGTTGGTTGGCCTAGCTGGTAAAGTTGTACACCCAAAAAACATGTATATAAATAGCCATCGTTATTTGAAAAGGTGGTGTTCCTCTTTTGAGGTGATGATTTGAGATGTGTGGGAGTGTAACACGTATGATATCACTGTGGCACACTTATCACTAGTAAGTTAGTTTGTAACTGTTGCAATAAACAACCGTGTGTGCAAGCTTCCTTCTTTTAGTTGCTTTATTATATATTACTGGAACCAGAAATCTGTCAAAGTTTACATGTCATCAGATTCAGAGGGATGGGCTCCCGTTCTGTGAATCTGGCAGCAGTGCCATAAAACTAAAAGTACATTCCCCAGAAAAGACACATAACATAGTCAACGTTTTAGTTCTGGTAATTCAACAAGTTCTTGGCACACTAAAATTTAGGAGACAAATACATGACAAGACCTGGACATTCCATTGTTTCTCTCCACAACCCAGCAGAAAGAAAATCAATAGACAAAAGGGAAAAGCAAAATAATAATAACATTCATGTACAAAATAAGGAAGTGTGTTGAGTTAGGCCTTGGGGTCATATTTACAGTCGTACCCATTTTGGCACAGGAGCTCAATATAGCGCAGACTGCCTGGTAAATAAGGAAGTGAACGACAATAATTAACACAGCAATGATGAGAAAAGTATTACTAGTATCAGAGAGTACTGTCCAGCTGTGACTCACCTGCTGACAGGTGTTCCTCCATGTCCTGTCCTATAGGTGCAGCAGGTGTGCAGGAAGAAGGTGGAGAGCGAAGTTAGAAATAAAAGTCACCTAGCTACAGCCACAGAGACAGCTGAAGATAAAAGTCCAACAGTGTAACCAATGGGGAACACCTTAGCGAGCCCCTGAGCTGAGAACACTTGTTCCTGAGCCGTTGTACGGTAAAGGAGAGCTGTAAGAAGTCGTTTCTTTGTTCCTTCCTCCTGCAAATATTGCCCGCAGGCAGGACCAAATTGTCACGTCCTTCTAGCTGCTGGCTGACACTATAAGGACTTCTACGTGACCACGTTTGGAGATCTGGACTTACAGATTAGGTACTCCAGACTTTTGACCAAACACAAATATGGAGCGGTTAAAGATTAATCATGGCAAAAGTGGGAGGGGGGAGAGAGATTTTTGCAGTGATGTATACCATGTCAACAACAACAGCCTACCTGTGCCAGAAGTTCGCATGTCTGTCTGTGTCTCCTGTTCCCTGCTCGCCATCCGAATGAGCTTTGGTCTGGATTTTTTGCTTTCCATCTTCTTCGCCCGAATGTCAGATAGTTAAATTAAATTTGGTCAATATATAAAGGTGGAATGTTTTGTTTTTTGGTAGGGGGCGATTCAGGAAGTTCCTCTGGCCGCCATTTTATTGTTTTCGTTAGATCGGAGTTACCAAACGTAACAAAGACCAAAGATACGTCGATTGTGATAGTATATAGTGACTGTTTGCATATATTATCCCGTATAATATTTTTGCTATTTGATACATATAATATTTGTTGTGAATGTATGAGGATCCTACAAATGTCTTCACATTATTACTATTTTGTGACGTTTTGCTGCGTTCAAACATGGCGGGAGATTTGAGCGGAAGTCTCGTAGCAGCATATATTGCGAAACCTATATTGCTATTTTGGCACGAAGAAACTGCCATATTTGTTTCAGGTCTTACAATCTTACTAGAAGCAGAAAGTATTTAAGTCTATCATCACAAGTGTCTTGTTCAATGCGTGCGTTCATGCTGCACGATGGTTCCTGGAAGAGTGAGAGTCCTAGGCTGTCACGGAAGGATTTATAGTACTCCCATATGATTTGTGCTGTGATTTAGGATTTAGCTTAGGGATTTCCTCAAGAAATGTTAAATCAGAGCAGAAATATACAGAGTTACAACATTACATTTGTATTTGGTAACCTGTACCAAGGAGGTTTAAACCTGTGAGACAAATTCATTTCACTGAGCTGAGATAACGTCCTGGTGGGATAGTCACGGGTAGAAGCGTCCCCTGACAACTTGGATTGATAGTACAGGAAAATTCCAGATAGACGCAAAACATTGAGATGGGCTGCAATTATGTACATAACGTTATAAACTTGTCTATCAATGGAGAACATATGAAGAAAAGTGTCATAGAAGCTATACAATATAGTACATTGTTCTAGTAACCCAAATAACACATCTAACGCTGGTTACATATTGAGATGTGTTCAAAGCTGCATGATGACTGTTTCATTGATACCCCATATAAATAACATTTTCAGACGGCTATTAGCTAAAAGTACAACGTTTATAAACTATTTCGCCATCAGATATCGTAGATATGTCAGGATTAGTACATGTATGCATTTAATATCAGAAACTTATGCATGCATGGTGCAGTGCATTGCTTGATTATGCTTGATTATGAGGTTTTCTCATATCCTGAACCGCCATGGTTTTCCAGAAGTTAGAACATATAACGTTATGGCATTACATGCAACTTTTTTTTACATAAGAAAACCAACGTTACGGTAACTGACATGTTCCAATCGGTGCGTTATTTGACCCAATTTTATGCTTGTATAAGGTACTTCAGGGTTATTTATGAACAGACTTTTTTATGCCTGAATGGAGTTATTACGTACATGCTCGTGTGCGTAAGCAGGTTTTCTCTTTGTCTGTCTAGTGTTCATCAGCATTTCTATGGAGATAATGATGTCCTCCTAGCCTCATCAAGTGTTCTGCCTCTGATGGTCTCTGATGAGGCAACGTGACGTCCAGAGTTTATTCATAGGAACTTCCGAAGCCCTTTCACACAATCTCTGACTGGAAGCACATCCGTTCTCTTTTCTGTTGAGCACGAGGATTATGATAATACAGCAGTATATAGAGCTTTATGAAATAATAAAACAGAGCAACTTTGGTACATATTTAATTCTGGCGGGTCCTCCTAGCCTCATCAAGTGTTCTGCCTCTGATGGTCTCTGATGAGGCAACGTGACGTCCAGAGTTTATTCATAGGAACTTCCGAAGCCCTTTCACACAATCTCTGACTGGAAGCACATCCGTTCTCTTTTCTGTTGAGCACGAGGATTATGATAATACAGCAGTATATAGAGCTTTATGAAATAATAAAACAGAGCAACTTTGGTACATATTTAATTCTGGCGGAGACTACATAAACAAACACACGAAAATCCCTACACTGACTCATACCTTTATAATGGAGTGAAAAGGAAGGTGTTCTATTGTACAAAGGATGGAACGCCCGGCTAATCCCCCGTAATTGTTAACATTTCGAGAAACTTGATACATAATTGTCTTCCTACTGTCCTCAGGAATCCTGTACAGGAATGTGGCTCAATCACCAGAGTTCCCCATTACAAAGAAAGACGTATTTGTGAGGATACTACGTAACGTGTCCTTGTCTACCTAACACATACTTCCCACTTATCCATTGTTACTATTTGATGTGGTTTCCAACACCGAGTTGGAACACAGATATTGGTATTTCTACTGCAAACTTCCGTTGTCCTGTATTATTACGATAATGGCATTGACAACGTTTCACTAACAAACTCACAGGGGCAACTGTAGAGAAAATCATCATGTATTTGCCTTCTCTTTCCCTAGAGACAGGGCCACGTTACTAGGCTGTCAACCTAAAACAAGCAATCTGACAAATAAACAAGGAAAAAAACGTTTCAGAACACCACCATGTGTTGGACTTTTGTGATCATGGTACAGACAATCACCAGTACTGTTGAATTTGGGGATGCCGAGTTCGCACAGATGTCATGGTCATTATCAAGCTAGTGCATCGTGCATTTCCTTGTTCAAGCGGTCTTGCTCTTTGCGTTACTTTTCGCTGTTGTGCATTGTTGTGACACAGGTTTCCTGTGGAGATAAGAAGCCGGTGGTGATGCACATCCTGGATACACCTACGTCACTGGGAAAGTCCCTTGTCATCACCGGTAACAATCGTTCCAGCAGATGCAACATCTGACCCCTTTTATTTAGAAATTAGATTACTATTCGTTCTACCACACCCTTTCGGATCCTCTTCGATATGGATACTGTTAAAAGTTTTCTCCTGTTCATTCTTCATGTCTACTATGATACTATCCCAAAGTTGTAACTTTCTCCGCGGAAGCCGTTTGAGATCGTTTGAGTACCGTTGTCTTCGCACCTGTTGTTTAGAGTTCACTGACGTCACGAGGAGTGCCGTGGTAGGTCCGATGTCAGAGTAACCTCATCCATCTGTCTCCAGGCCAGGGACTGGGGATAAAGAACGATAAGAACCAGGCACGGCGATGATTAACAGGTGCCCGTGTCGCCAGGGCCAACATGTGGTCGTACTGTGCTGGGTCGAGAGGGCAGACGTCGTCATGGCGCGGTGCGGGAGGGAGCTTTTGTTTTTTCACTAAAAGTTCCTCGTTTTGTTGAACTTGCCAAGTACGTCACTTAACCCTGCATAAGAGCACCCATCCTCGTTTGACAGTGTTGGTTAGGTACGATTTCCTGGTTCTTTTGCTACGTTATCCATTGCCGTGCCATGGCCCTCACCACCATTGTATAGAATGACATGAAATTCAAAGTGCTTTATTTTGTCATTTTTGTCCCAACTCAACTGTGCCACCGGTAACCTTTATGCCATTCTCTCTCTCTCATAGTTGTAATTCACAGTTGCCGCGCCTTGCCACCTCTCATGCCTACACGTTATACTGGCAATCTGCCTATCTTTCCTCCCCCGTACCACGAGAGATTCGTGGAAATTAAGAAATCTTAAACCTTTTCACGCTTTACTTCTCTACTCAGTACCGGTGCATCTCATGGTCGTTAAAACAATATAGTGACGTGGCCTTATGCTCTTCCTCCGTGGGGGTTGCAAAAACTACTTCTTTGCTTTGAATTCCAATGAAACTCTTAAAACATCTGACAGATATGAGAATCCTAGTGACCAGTGATAGATTTCTCTTCTGCATGTCACGAGCCATGCCCAATTCCTAATTTATGAGTCCATGGCCAAGGACGTACGTCCCGGAAATCGACTACCGTACACGTCAGATTAGACAAATCAAGACCTTCTGTCTGTAACACGCCTCGAGGAAGTTCCTTTAAGTGTGGGCTGTGGAACACGGAAGAGTCTTGAGGAACAGGGGTTGAGAGTCTGAAGTACGTCATTGAGACGCCACAGCTGTGTGACTCGGCCTAGCCTGCTCTACTTTTCTACCCACGTATATTTACCTTGGTACAAGCTGTTTCTCGGGGTTAGAGGCAAGGACGTCAGACAGCCATGGGATTAACTATTGTATGGCCGGTGAAGACTAGACTAGCAATCTGTCTTTGTCCCCGGTGAACAGATGCACCACATCGGAGATATGTCTGAACTGAACACGCCTTCGTATGAAAGGTCTGGACGTGCGGCGGGGGAAGATTATGTGTAGAGCACATATCAGTGGAAAATCTAGTATCGCTTAAAACGATTTTATTCTGCGATATTTGAGATTGAGCCGTGTGTGATTCTGTCAGTCTCCCTGTCTACCTACTCTTCAAGCAGAGGCTTGGGGTAATTTTTGGTGTGCTTTTTTACTTTTTATTGGGGTTTCTTTTTTGCACTGGAATTTTTCTTTCAACCAACCCAATTTGAAAGAAATATTCCAGTGCAAAAAAGAAACATTAATGAAATAGTAAAAAAGCACACGAAAAATTACCCCAAACCCAAACCTCTGCTTGGAGAGTACTGTCTACCCACAATCTGCCTGGTATTTGGTTGGCGAAGTGACAGAAGTGCATGTCAGTCTGAACAGATAGGGACAGGGATTTTGTTGCCAATTTCCACTAAACACATGTTTGTGATTCTGGCCAAATACAGTAGCTGCTGAATCATGGCAGTATATCTCCTACTTTACATTCATTTTCGCCATAAAGTTAAAAAAATAATAATAATAAAGAATAAAACATATCATATTTGAACAACCTGTCTAGACTCTACATAATCAGTCCGCCCACCCTATGTTTTATAGCCTGGTTGACTTTGGAGTACTTGATTGCCCACGCGCGTTTCGAATAGATATTGGGACAGGAATGTTAAAGATCCGCCCCACTGTATTGATATTTTGACCGACCTGTCTGAAGTATGTGTGTTGGTATCTAGCCTGGCCCAGGCACAATGTGACTTGATGGTGCTGGTTGATAAAGGCATGTTTACCCGCCGTTGAACGGGCGGAGGAAGGCGGGCTAGAGCATGGTGGTCCTGATAAAGAACCCCTCTGATCGGGTCGCGCTAAACAACAACACGAGCGGCGCCATTTATAGTATCGGATGAAAACATTACCCGCTTGTTGTTAGCTGTAGCGTGCGTGTAGTCTATAGAACATACAAAACCTCTGTTAGGAAAGTGTGCCTCGTAATTCGGTCTGAAGTCA